AAATATTTCAATATGTTTTGAAAATGTACGTCAAGACTGCTCACGTGTTTAGCGCCGGGGTAAGCAGCTGTGATATCTAGTGAAACACGTAATTCTAGACTACGCCTTAATTATGTCTTTATATTAAGATTGTTATTGAAAATTGTCAAAACGTAAAGTGAATTATGTTAAAAAAAGTCCCGCTGGGTTTCTTTCTAGCTCTTCCCAGGACAGAGGTATTTTCCGAACCAGTGTTAAAAAAATTACTTTCAAAAAGTATTATGTAATAATCATTAATTTCATCCATTCATCATTCATTTTATTCATTCTCTGTAGTAGAAATCGGTTATTAGAACAACATAATTATTTTGAGTGCATCGAACAACTTACTTAACAAGACCAGCTTTAATTAACGAAGAACAAGCGGACGAAGTTTCCCGAGGTAGCTGTACAGATAATTGGCTCAACTTCATCCATTAACATGCTGTTGGCAAAATTAGCCGACCTTTACCATAGACTAGTAAATCGCTGATTAACGACTTTTGTGCTATTACAAAGAGGCATAAGTTGTTTATCGCAATAAATTGTTGGATATTTCAATAATAAAAAAATACGTGTGGCACTCGGTGACTGCCGCGGTAAAGCTATTGCATAGCATTTTTATCAACTTATGCAATTATAATTATTTATTTACTTTATTTATGCAGTTTTTTTTTCTTTGTTAGCAAAATTGTTTGCTCTATGCGGGAATCGAACCCGTGATCCGCGACGCTGCATTCGGGTGGTTCAGCCACAGCGCCAAATGTGCCATCAAAAATAATACATAAATTTAAAAAATATGTTTAAGTATAAAGTCTGTATTTATTAAATACTCTAAATTCACGAAAGTTGCTAGCATGACGACGACTCACATAAATCCAAAGAATATGTTTCTTGCAATAAACTATATTATTGTTTAAAATATTTTTATTATCTTACAATACGTGCAACTAGCCTACACGCATACGTCTAGTCACACGCACACAAACACAGTGCCGAAGTCTGCCGAACTGAAACGACGTTAGACGATGTTAGGTTTTGGAGTATTAGATTTATTTTCGTTAAGGAATTTCTTGATTTGGTAGCCGCGCTCAAAGCCCGCGGTAAAAGCTATGCAATAGCTTAAAAATTAAAAAGCCGTCTCTCATTTTTGACCGGGTTATAGAGGAATAAGACCGTCGTTCCGCTCTACTGCGTGTTGATGAAATCACCTAGCTTCGAAATATATTTATTCCTCAGACATTCATGCTCATGAGGTTTTCCTTCACCGTTAAATATGTGATAAATTAGCACTTAACACGTTCACTATCCAGCTAAGAATCCTTATGACTTAATACATAATTAATATGTGCTTTTTATAAAGAATAAAATTGACGCGCGAGCACACAGGCCAACTGATGGTAAGTGAATGCTGTGGCTCATAGATATCTGTCACTGATTAAAAATCAAAATGCAGATACGCTATCACCCTCGAGGACAAAGATAGAATACCTCGTTAGGTACTTGTAAAAAAGGTCTCCGGTTCTTTACAATCACCAAACGAAACACAGCAGCAAGCTGCTATTTCATGATGGTATTATGAGAGAGCGTGGTTCTTCCTCAGTCGAGTCAACCAAGCCATTCGTACTGCAACAGTAATAAAGCTGCAGCGTGGCTCTACCACGTAAGGCGTGGCTACCATGTTATGCTATGAATACTATATATATATCACTACTAACTACACTGGCCTCCAAAAAAATCGACCCACTCGTTAATTTTGCGTAACAAAGTGGTTATCTTAAGTATACGTTGACATATTTGTATGTCAGTTGATATGGTTGATCAGAGCAACAATACAAAGTAATATATCACGTAACTAATTTAATTGGTACAAAACACAACGAGTCGTGTGAAAGTTCCTAGCACGCTATGGGCCGCTCGATCGCTAGCACCGAAGTGTCCTGCCGGCCCACGCGATCCTCCCGGCTAGACTCCGTCGAAGTGTTGGGTCACAACACTTCCACCTCGTTGTCAAGTCAGCATTCGGACTTTTCCGACATATATGTTTTTGCTTATGCGTTTTAAATTAACATCTGAGTACCCACTTGACATTGCTTTAGAGGAACACAAGCGCTATTGTGGGTATTTGTAACATTTTAAGCGCACTGATAAAAATTGTCCTCTTGTGCATAGAGTGCAAGATTAGTTTATTTAGGACTTTTGACGCGTAATATTCTTGGTTCTGTGCAACGTATGACTTAATCTTTTAATTCTTTGTTGCAGCAGACATATTACTTTTAACCATACCACTGATATACCACTGAAGCAGAAGCCGCTCAAGTGGTAGCTCTCGATAGTTAAAGGCTAAGTCAGCAAAATGTGGCAAGGAGATTAAGTTTGAATCGATCGGCAGTACGCAGATTTTATAAACGATACTTAGAGACAGGAGAGTACCGCCGGAGATTAGGGTCTCGAAGAGGACGTCGACTTCTTTGTGAAATCGGCATCTTTCTGCTGTTGATGTTCAGGATAGGCTGAGGGAAACTCGTCGAATGTCTTTAAGTGAGAATACGGTAAGAAGAAGACTTTGCAAAACCGGACACCACACACGCCAGCAACGGGACCAAAATCACTGCATCTCAACGGCAAGCAAGGTTAGAATTTGCTAGGCAACACGTACAATGGAATCTTGGTCAATAGGGGACATTTCTCTTCAACGATGAAAACCAAATGACCCTTGTAGGCTCCGATCGACGTCGTAACGTTATGTGAAGACCAGGAGAACGTTATGCTCAGTGTTGCGTAAGAGAAACAGTCCGCTTTGGTGGAGGCTCTACAATATTTTTGGATGGCATATCTTTAACTGGATGTACTGAGTTGGTTTTGTTTCGCAATCGTGCGGTTAATGCTGAAAGTTACATTACGAACATTTTGCAACCTCGCTTACGCTGGGTATATTGGGGACAATTTTCAACTCATGCATGATAACGCAAGACCACACGTCGCTAGAATTGTAACTGGACATCTTCAGGAGGTCGGAATTCCAATTATGCGGTGGCCAGCTAATAGTCCGGACTTAAATCCCATCGAACATCTTTGGGACCAGATAAAAAGAAAGGTTAGAGCCCGAAATCCAGTTCCCGAAACGTTGGATCAACTGGAAGGCGCCTTAACAGAAGAATAGGAACAGACACTCCAAGAAGAAAAAGAAGAAAAGCTTATCTGTTCCCTTGCTTGATCCTTAATAGGCGTATGCAGGCAGTGATAAAAGCAAGAGGAGGCAACACCCCATATTAGAGTAAGGTTTACATTTTTTAAATGTCAAAAAAGTCCTCCGTGACCATGGGTGCTGGAAAGCACCCGAAATGTCGGGTATTAAAAATAAAATAAATAAAACGCGATAAAATCCGTAAAAGTAGTTTTAATCAATGTAGTGTTCGCGAAAATATAAGAAATCGTAGATTTTGTAAAATGTTATGATTTCAATGTCTCATCACATTTGTTTGTAAAATATCCCGTTTTACGCGCCGTTTTTTAGTATTTTGCAACCCTATGATTGCATTATTACATTATCAAGATAAAAAATATCTATCGATTGTGGTAAAAACCCATGGGACGTTTTTTTGTGAAAAAAAAAGAAGGTGAAGTAGGTGGGTCGATTTTTTTGGAGGCCAGTGTATAATAATTATAACTAATCACCAATATTTATATACTATACCATTTATTTTTGCTATGAAGCCAGAATAATATTTATATACTATACCATTTATTTTGGCTATGAAGCCAAAATAAATGGTATAGTATATAAATATTGTACAAGTTTATTTTTATTTTTATTGTTCATATGTGTAAGTTGACAAAAATTATTAATCCCACGCGTGCTCAAATTTAAAATCCTTTAAACTTGTTTAGTCTAATACCTCCTAGATGGCGCAGGCACCCACTGATTGTACGATAAAATGTTAAAATTGCAGTTAGCAATGTTATTAATGCGGTCGGTGATAGGACCCGGATTGCTCGCGAATTGTGACATTGCGGTGAGCACTTAGTCCCACTTTTTGTCCTAGATTAGCAGCTCGGCTAAATAGGCTAAAAAGTTACAAAAATAAAAATATTACATGGGGACTTAAATACTAAGGGTATTTATGTCCTCATGTAATATTTTTATTTTATGTTTTTAATTTTTCTTTTATATTTTTACCTAAATTTGGTCGTACTTAATTAGAAAAAAAAACAACCTTAATACTCTGATATCAGGGTTACACACTCGCCTTGTGCCTCGCTTCGTACCTCGCCTCGCAGCTCGCGTGTTGTTGCGAGCTTGCGAGGTAACGAGTGCCTGTTTACACTCTCGCGATGCATTCAGTTTGCGTTGAGCCAGCAACGATGGAAAACGTCGAAATAATAGCGGAAACATCAACTCTTGCCTTAATAAGTACTTATTGATGCTCGACTATTTAAAAAAGAAAGAAATTAAAAATATATCTATTTTAGTGTTGTAATGTAGGGGGAATCCGGGAGACTTGAACCCCCTTTTACAAAAATGACTGTAAAATCTTACTGATTTCTTGTAGATATCTCAGTCTTTAACACTTGGATTGCTTAATTCAATAGGCTTCGATTGGTGGTACAAATGTTATAATAACTTTTATCTACTAAGAATTATGGAACTTTTTTTTAAAAAGTCAGAAATGGTTCAAATCTCCCCAACCCATGGGACATTTGACCATAGGGTTGGGGAGATTTAAACATACTTTCTGTTACTGGGAAAACAATTTAAATATCAAAGTTTTTGTCATTATTTTAATCAATTAACAAAACGTAAAAACAGTTTTGACATTTTGTGAATGTCACTTACTCTTAATTAACTGTAATTATAAAGAAATCAATAATCAGTCTTAATTACAATAAGGCACTTTTAAAAGTAACATCGTAATTAGAGATCAAGGTCAGTCAAAATTGTTTGTGGCACTTATATCCACCCTTAAAGTATTTTTATTGAATTAATCACATTCTGGACACATGAAGTTTTCAGAATCGTTAATAGTTAGCCCTACACATTCCTCGTGGACATACCTTTTACAAGAAATACAAAGACGCATATCCAAGAGTTCTTCAGTACCACAAATAAAGCAATACCAACGAGTATCCAACTCTGGTACTCCTTCCCCTTCCCAGTCACCGTCATTAGAGCTATCAGCATAAGGAATACAATCGTCATAATTTTCTTCAGATTCACTGTCAATTGAGCGAGCGAACGTGCGAGAACGTTTCTGTTGTTTATTTATTTTCCTTTTTTTGGTTTTTGCTGGTCCTGTATCTTTGTTTCTTTTTATTTTATTTTTCCCTTGCTTTACTTTTTCTTTCATTTTCTTAAAATCTGCTTTAAAATCATCTTCACAATCTGTGTCATTGTTCTTTTCTTGTAAAACTTGCCTCTTTGCTTTTTTTGTGTCTACCTTCTTTCCTCTTTTAATATTCTTCTTAGCTTTAGTTTTTGAGGACTTGTCACCTTTGGCCTTAGTTGTTGTTTTCTTAAGAATTTCATTTGAATCATCATCTGTAATTTTTTTAGGAGTTTTTGTTAGAATTTTTGTTTTTCCAGGTTGTCGTCCACGCCGTGTTGTCTTTCGGGGTGCAGCTTTTGGGTATGGTCTTATTATTTCTGGTGTAATAGTTACTTTTTTAGTAATATGGTCCGGAGTTTGCGGAATATCCAGCTTTTGTGTCAGAGTAGGTGAATTCGGAGGATAATAATAATTTATTTCAGCCTCTTGGCACTGATGAAAAGAAACTTCTAAATTACAATTTAATTTAGCCATGAGAGTGTCATTCAATTTAGTGAGGCAACAATTCACCAGGCTCTCAAGATAAACTTTAGAACAGTTGAGTGAATTTGGTTCAGAGTCTGATGGTGCATGTGAAAAGCTTTTTAAGACTTTGTCAGAGGTTTGCGGACTTTTCTGAGCTGGAGGGTTTAGTTGGTTATTTGTTAGAGAAACAGTCACTGAATCCAGAAGCGAGACATTATTTAAATCAAGCAGGGGACTATATGGAGGGTCCTGAACTTCATCATTAGGGATCTGTTGAGATGTTGACGGAATTTTCAGATCAACGTCGTTGAAGCTCTGCGGAAAATCTGGTGGATCTTGCTGAGCGCTTGAAAAGACAAGCTGAGCTTGGCGACATTGAGACGAACTACTGGTAAGTTCATAATTTTCATTGGATATATCCCTATCTGTTACAGCAGAACACATGAAATCTTCATCACTGAATAGATTATCATTATAAGGATTTTTCCCGATTTTTGGAATCCGCTTAAAATGTTGGCTTGGCTGAATGCTTGCGACATAATCGTTTTGATGAATCCAGGAATTTGGTATATCGTTACTGTCCTTCGAGGATTTGAAAGCATCCAGTTGCTCAACGCAGTATTATATCTCGATTTAAATGACGAATATACAGCGATATCCAAAGGTTGCAACTTATTGCTGCAATGGGGCGGAAGTGTAAGCAATGTGATGCCGTTCGATTTTGCATAAATTATCACTTCGTTGCTCACATGGCTTTCGTGGTTATCAAGAATTAATAACACGGGATTATCTTTCGATGCATGGGAGTGCTTTTTGAAATGTTCCATGAATTTTAGGAAGCTCTTGGCAGTCATCCAACCCGTAATGTATGAATCTCTATCAAACCCTTCAGGTCCTCCATTAACAAAATTAGGTCGGTATTTAACACGCGGAAATATGAAAAAAGGAGGCATGGCATTTCCAATGGCGTTTACAGTGAAGCAGACTAGAGTACCTCTTTCAGCAGAGGTGGCGTGTCCTACTTGCTAGGCTTTTTTACTTGCCAATACTTTGGGGCATTGTTGGACAGTAGTACAGCCAGTTTCGTCACAATTGCACTTGCTTCAAGTTTGCGTAAAAGTCTGTTACATTTTTTTTGTTGAAACTTGTAGCTCGCGACAAACTGGTGGCTTCAGGCGTCCTTAAGCTTATTTCCGGGTTTCTAGCTAAGAAACCTCGGAACCAATCTTTTCCAGCAAAATTGTTATTTGTCCAACTTTCAGGTATTTTTTTATTATTTGCTAGAGCATAATCAAAGGCTAATTGCATGGCTTGTTTTCTCGTCAGTCCATAGTGCATTCTACTGCATGCCAAAAGGTAGTTTACTAATTGCTTTTCTTCTCTATTGTCAAAAATCTGCGAGCTTTTGTACCTTTTTCTTCTATTTTATTTAATGTCGCTTCACCGCGAACATGGTACCTTCTTAGAGTCGTTCTATCAATGTCATATTTAATGGCTGTTTTTCTAATAGAAGCACCTCCCTGAATCTCACTAATAGCTTGCTCAAGGTCACGCTTTGTAAATTTTCTCCTACGGGTAGTGTCTTGGGGTTTGTGTTGAAACGGCATCTTCGTCCTGGAATATAAAAAGAGCACTTAACTTAGCAACAGTCAACAGACGCAGCTGTAGCTACTGAAGGGAGACTTGAACCAATGGCCATATCTCCCACCGAATAAGTGGTTCAAATCTCCCACACCCCTCCTTTCCGGATTCTAGCTTGCTTTACTCAGATACCACAATTTGCAACAAAATGCCATTGTACACACATTCAAATACTAAATCTTATTTATCTTCATTAATCGATTCACAGTGATCAAAACAGTTTTTCAATTTTTATTCTTGAGTATGAGAGAACCAGATATATGGGTCAAAATCCAACGCGTATGAATTTTGACAAAATGGCTGATCGCTCGTGATTGGCTGCCACTTGATCACCTTATTAGTGGGCAATCAGGCTGTTAGCGCGAAAATTCAAATGAGAAATCAGAGTCGGTTCAAGTCTCCTCCCTGGGCAAGTCTCCTGGATTCCCCCTAGTTTATTACGCATTAGTGCGTAATGGATTTCGAAAATCAGCTTTTTGCAGCAAATGTCAAATTATACTTTTTAATTCACCTATGAAATAATATAATCAAATAAAATAATATAACCAAACGTGAGCGCGATTGTAAACACCACGTTCGCGTCCCCCACGAGGCCTTTTAACTCGTGCCTAAAAAACCGCCTTTGACGCGAGCGCCGCGAGTGGCGAGGCGAGCTGCGAGGCGAGCCACGAGTTAACGTTTACACTCGCACCTCGCACTCGTCTAGCGACTCGCCTCCCCGCTCGCGCGAGAGGGTAAAGGGGCTATTAACGTTATAGTATACGACTTTGTGTTTTTGTCTTTGTCCTCCTCCTTGTTTTGATTTTGTAGGGCAACAAGACGTAGGGTGACCATATTACCCTCAAGTATAGCACGTTTCATGTATTTATCGTTTATATGGTGTTATTTTTAAACATGCTTCAGTATAGTTGGTATTCCTAGTAGTCTTACTAGTAAGACTACTGGGAATTTCCTAATGGGAACTTCGTATCGTGTTGTATTTCTAGTAGTTAGCAAATAACCTATAATTTTTCTTCTACCATTAGGGTAGAAAATACTCAGTAGTCCAGTAGAATATTTTCATCAGTACCTAATTACTTTATTTAATTTTTTAGTTATGTTGTATTTCATGTTAACGTTTTTTTGGCATAATTTGACTGACTGATGTTTGTTTTTACAAATAGTAGGAATAATACTAGGCCAGCATAAACGTGAAAGAGGCAGTGGAGTAGTTCTTCAGACCGTATTTCGGTACGGCGGCACGTGCCAATGCAAAACTAGATCTGTGACAGAATTACAGTGCCAGAATTTATGCGCAAGCACAGGTGAATTCTCTATTCCCTCAGTCTTGTAGTTCGATGGGATGGTAATCCGACACGATCGGAGAGAGATGAGGGGCAGAACCAACAGCTATACGTGCTTTCTGCTCCGGGCTGCTTCCGAGGATTTCATAAAATAAAACAATATTGTGTAAGTTTGCAAAATATTTCTTATAAACAATGGTTGTTAATGACACAGTGGCATGCAAATAATCCCCTCAGCTGATGAAAAGGCAGCTACATCAATATTAAATAACAGACACTTCAATTTCATTTATAACTAATAGATGTGTTTAGACCTGTTTATTTTTCTACATGTATCCCTTTTTAAATTCTATCTATGTAAGAAAACTTGTCTTACGCTGTAACAAAAATATTTATCGTTTCATCTCTCCACCGTCACAGATTACTAGATACATTAACAGCGCGTCGTCTTCTCTTCGATAGAAAATTGAATTTATTTCATTTTCATCTCACGTCCCTGTGTCTATATCGCTTCCTTTGAATATTTATCTACCTAGGTATCCAGATTTATACAAGTCTTTTACAGAATATAATTAAACATTGTGCAATATTTAATTACGGCAAATAAAAAAAATATTTCTACATTATAATTGGACGCAAAAATAAATGCTGGCGAATTATTCCACTCCTTTGCTGTACACCTTATGAACGAAGAAGTCAACCGTTTGGTTCGAACGCGTAGTAAGTCAACAACAAAGGGGTGGAGACCAGCCGAGCGTCCCATCATGGAATGGAGAGGAAGAAATCAAGCCATGTAATTTCAGAACACACGCTAATTCGTGTTATGCGTGCCTATTAAATCGAATTCTGCTATTAAGCGAGAGACCTAGGTTCACCTGTGGGCTGTTCATAGGCCTAATAACACAGGCATAGTATAATATAGCATCATACATACATAAACAATCACGCCTATCACCCAGGCAAAGCTACGGACGTTCATTTGGCACGATTCTGGCACACATCTCTCGCCACATATACTATATAGCTTGCTACATATTTATTTATCTATGACTAAATCCGACTAAAACATTTACTATAATGTCGACTGTCAAAATGGCGTCGTTAAAGCATCGCTCTTTTGACTCTATTATTTAGAGAGAGAGAGAGAGAGAGAGAGAGAGAGAGAAAGAGAGAGAGAGAATGATGAAAAGCCATCGTATCATAGAGCCATCTATTCAAACAAGGCTGTAGTTTTTAAATTATAATAATGTGACCATATTAACCGGATGATCATATTACACTTACGTACTATAGTGTATATTCATTTGACATCATGAACTTTATCTTCAAAAGGTAAAATTTTTATTTAGATACAATATTTACAATAGCATTAAAATTCTAAAATGGTCACTTCAAATTCATATTTGATGGGAGCCGGTGGTTCCTCCATAGGGAACTTTGCTTATAACATGCAAATGGGAAAAGTTTCAAGCTAATTTGTTCCAAGTTCGTCGCAACAACGTTGACCGGCTGGACCCAGTAAATTAAGGTATTCTTAACGACAGTTTTATACTTAATACAAATATTAAAGTAAAAAGTAAAGTAAAAAGTACGCACTTGGAACTAATATCTTGAAATACTTTTTTTATAATGCGGTGTATGGCATTATTTATAATATTAATATAAATTTTCGACAAAAAATAGTATAGAATTTGCACTGTACTTATTGCTGATGCTAGAAGACATTTAAGTAAAATTAAACCTTCGGCTAAGTAAGTATACAATTGAACCTTAGGTTTTGACTTCGACCAAAAATTGACCTTCGATCGGACATGAAGATTTTATGACTATATTAAAACAGTTGTCATACCTGTATATGTCATACATGTTTAAATTAATATTTCACAGTAATTACTACATTAAAGTTAAAAAAGTTACAGCCTATATACGATACGTCCCACTGCTGGGCACAGGCCTCCTCTCATTTCTGAGAGGGTTTTGGGGCTAGGAAGTGTCTGCAACGCTGCCCCAATGCGTCTTGGCGAATTTCACATATCTTCAAAATATTTTTTTTTCTTATATAACCTGCATAACCTGTCTAAGAAGACAGGTTCTGCAGGTTTTCGATGTTTTCCTTCATCTCCGAGCACGTGGTAAATCAGGATTTATAATCGCAATGAACAATTTCATTGGTGCCGGCGGTGATTATTACATTCTTATGATATAATTCTTTCTTTTTGCTTTTTTGTTTTTTCAGTATTATTTTTTTAAACTGAAGTGACAAAAGAAGTTACAGAATAGCTACAGATGCTTTGTCACCTCTAAGGAATACGATGGAATGCCCCACATCCTGCAATTGTACTGGCTCTATGTACGCTTCAGACGGGAACACTGCAGTGCAGGCATTGGTATTGAGCATCAGAAAATGGTAAGAGGGTGGTGCCTGCTCAAGTTGACTCATGAGCAGAAATAGTCCTAGCACCAAGACTCATGATTCAAAGTAAGGAAGGTTATTCTGTTTACGAAAAAATCGGAAACTACTTACGACATTGATTTATGTAATTGCTCGCGCAAGTAGATGAGTTTGTATATCTGGGATGTGTATTCAGCAGGGATGGGAGATCTAATAAGGATATAGAACGACGAGTGATCGCAGGAAATAAAGTAAATAGGACTCTAAACTCTATTGTGGAAAGTTAGAATGTGTCAAACAAGGTACGTAAGGTAATTCAAAATGCTGTGTTAGTCTCTAATTTAACGTGTAGTAACAGTAGTGAAAGATGGGTGTGGCAGAAGAAGCACGAGAGTAGAATAAACACAATAGAAATGCGGCCGGTAAGGAGTATGTTAGGGCTGAATGTGAGTGACAGATTGAGTCAAATTGTGTAATAAGAATGTGATTTGCAAGATGATGTTGTAACCAGGATTAAGAAAGGAATGCTTCGGTGGTTTGGTCATGTGGAAAGAATGAATGAGGGAAGACTGACAAAGCAAATATATGTTGCAGAAGTAAATGGAAGAGTCGGAAAGGGACATCCTAGGCGAAAGTTTATCGACCAAATTGGCGATATATTGCAAATGGGCCAAATTAAAAGTACCCTTAACCGACGAGTATATATGCGTAGGTATATGGATGTGGAGGAGACGAGAGAGTTATGTCAGGATTGTGCCAAATGGAAGTCTGTAGTCTCTGCCTACCCCTCTGGGTGACAGGCATGAGAGTTTAGGCTATGTTATGTTATAATTTATCTAATATCTTTTGTTATTATTATCTATCACTGATGTAATCTGACTTGACGGAAGGTTAGTATTAATAAAACTAATTTTGCAGTTTTGTAGCGTTTATTTTCGCACATTCTAACTTATTTTTATTTCTTGATTTCCGACGTTTCGTATGCTTTGCTGCACACGTAGTTCACGATATGTGTATTCATCTATGGTCACGGTATAGATAATCTTTTGGTCAGATCTACGCAGAATGAGCTTAGTGTCTTTATTACAGTCAATAAAAGCCCACTCCCGACCATAGGCCTCCCTATAGCTTATCATATTTGCCACGTTTGGCAGGCGGATTGGCAGCCACGGTTTTTCATTATTTGAGAATTTATTAATTTATTTACGTAACCCTTGTTTTTAACACCTTAATTAAGATAAGGTAACAAAGGGTGGTCTTAATGCCTATCGAAGTTCTCTGCCTGGCAACC